CTTGATAATGGTGTCTGATCTTTACAATGTGCTGTTGGATTCTGTTTGCTAGTATTTTGTTGAGGATTTTTGCAACTACGTTCATCAGTGATAGTGGCCTGTAGGTTTCTTTGTGACATCTTTGTCTGGTTTTTGTATCAGGGTGATGGTGGCCTCGTAGAATGAGTTTAGGTGTGTTCCTCTCTCTGCTATATTTTGGACGAGTTGGAAAAGGATAAGTGTTAGCACTTCTCCAAATGTTTGATGGAATTCACCTGTAAAGCCAACTGGCCCTGAGATTTGTTGGAAGGTTTTTAATCAGTTTCAATTTCAGTGCTTGTGATTGGTCTACTCATATTTTCTAGTTCTGCCTTGTTAAGTCTCTGAATGTTGTGCCTTTCTAAGAATCTGTCCATTTCTTCCAGGTCGTCCTTTTCATTGGCATATAGTTGCTCGTAGTAATCGCTCATGATCCTTTGTATTTCTGCAATGTCAGTTGTTACTTCTTTTTCATTTCTAATTGTATTTATTTGCGTCCTCTCTGTTTTTCTTCATGAGTATGGCTAATGGTTTATCAATTTTGTTTATCTTTTCAAAGAACTAGCTTTTAGTTTTATTCATCTTTGCTGTCGTTTCCATCATTTGGTTTTCATTTATTTCTGATCTGGTCCTTATGATATCTTTCCTTTTGCTAACTGTGGGGATTTTTTGTTTTTCTCTAATTGCTTTAGGTGCAAAGTTAGTTTGTTTGAGATGTTTCTTGTTTCTTAAAGTAGGATTGTATTGCTATAAACTTCTTTCTTAGAACTTTTGTTGCATCCCATAAGTTTTGGGTCGTCTTGTTTTCATTGTGGTTTGTTTCTAAGTTTTTTTTTATTTACTCTTCGATTTCTTCAGTGATTTCTTTGTTATTATGTAGTGTTATTATTTAGCCTCCATGAGTGTGTATTTTTTACAGATTTTTGCCTGTAATTTATATCTAGTCTCATAGCGTTGTGGTCAGAAAAGATACTTGATACGATTTCATTTTTCTTAACTATACCACGGCTTGATTTGTGACGCAAGATACGATCTATCCTGGAGAATGATCCATGAGCACTTGAGAAGAATGTGTACTCTGTTGTTTTTTAATGGAATGTCCTAAAATTTTCAATTAAGTCCATCTTGTTTAATATAGCTAATAAAACTTGTGTTTCTTATTTTCATTTTGACTGATCTGTCTTTTGGTGAAAGTGGGGTGTTAAAGTCCCCTATTATGATGTGTTACTGTTGATTTCCACTTTTGTGGCTGTATTTCCCTTATGTATTGAGGTGCTCTTACATAAATATTTACAGTTGTTATATCTTCTTGGATCGAACCCTTGATCCTTGTTTGTCTTTGTTTTAAAGTCTATTTTGTCTGATATGAGAATTTCTTCTCCAGCTTCCTTTTGATTTCCATTTGCATGGAACCTTTTTCTATCCCCTCTCTTTCAGTCTTTAGTATCCCTAGGTGTGAAGTGGGTCCTTCGTTGATAGCATACATATGATGGGTCTTTTTTGACTATCCATTCAGCCTTTCTGTGTCTTTTGTTTGGAAAATTTTTTTTTTTTTTTTTCTCTTGCGTTATGCGGGCCTCTCACTGTTGTGGCCTCTCCCATTTGCGGAGCACAGGCTCCGGACGCGCAGGCTCAGCGGCCACGGCTCACGGGCCCAGCCGCTCCGCGGCATGTGGGATCTTCCCAAAACGGGGCACGAACCCGCGTCTCCTGCATCGGCAGGCGGACTCTCAAGCACTGCGCCACCAGGGAAGCCCTTTTGTTTGGAAACTTTAATCCATTTACATTTAAGGTAATTATCATTATGTATGTTCCTCTTACCATTTTCTTAATTGTTTGGGTTTTTTTATAGTAGTTCTTTTCCTCCACTTGTGTTTCCTGCCTAGAGACGTTTCTTAGCAATTGTTGTAAAGCTGTTTTGGTGGTGCTGAATTCTCTTAGCTTTTGTTTGTCTGTAAACATTTATTGCTGGTAAATCTGAGTGAGATTCTTGATGTGTAATCTTGGTTGTAGATTTTCCCTGTCATCACCTTAAATATGTCCTGCCAGTCTCTTCTTGCAGAATTTCTGCTGAGTTATCAGCTGTTAATTTTAAGGGGTTACTCGTATGTTTTTTGTTGTTTCTCCCTTGCTGCTTTAAATGTTTTTCCTTTATTTTTTTTATAATTTGATTAATATGTGTCTTGGCATGTTTCTCCTTGGATTTATCCTGTATGGGACTTTCTGTGTTCCTGGAATTTATTTCCTTTCCCATATTAAGGAAGTTTTCAACTGTAATCCCTTCAAATATTTTCTCACTTTCATTTTCCTTTTCTTCTGTGACCCCTATAATTTGAATGTTGGTGCGTTTAATGTTGTCCCAGAAGCCTCTGAGGCTGTCCTCAATTAT